GTGAAGAAACACCATGAAATGGAACTTTATCAAAAATCTTCTAGACCCCCACCTAAGGTGTCATGCCAAGCAACAGTTTTTCAGCTCAAGAGAGAACATGTTTAATTGCCATATTGAGTTAAACCAGAGAGAGCAAGAAAAATAAGAAAAGTCATGTGTAATTTCAGCAAAAGGGTGAATTGGTGAGAAAAAAAACTGAATATTGCGAAGCCAAAACACAATTAGGTCAAAAGCACTAAAATCTGTTGTGGCTGCACGCATCAGTTAGCCATATGAGATAGAGAAGAAACACCAAGAAATGGAAATTGTTTTACAAAGTCTCATAGACCCACCTGATGTGCCGTGCCAAGTCCCAGTTTTTCAGCTCCAGAGAAAACAAGTTTTACAAAACTTCCACAGAAGAAATAACTTCCACATCCTCATGGTTTATAAAATGGAACAAAGAGATTAATAAGAATAAGAAAAGTGGATGGTCATGTGTAATTTCACGAAAAGGGTGGATTGGTGTGGAGGGGGAAAGAAAATGAACATTGCCAAGCCCAAACAAGAATCAGCTCAAAAGCATTGGAATTTGTCGTGGCTGCAAGCATCAGTTAGCCTTATGAGACGGAGAAGATACACCATGAAATGTAACTTCCTCTTAAGTCTGATAGACCCACCTGAGTTGCCATGCCAAGCAACAGTTTTCTAGCTCAAGAGAGAACATGTTTGATTGCTTCTTGAGTTATACCAGAGAGAATAATAAGAACAAGAAAAGTGGAAGGTCGTGTACTTACACCAAAAATGTGGTCAAAGTGAAAAAAAAATTAAACTTTCCGATGCCAAAACACAATTAGCTCTAAAGCTTTGAAACGCAGCATGGCTGCAAGCAACAGAGTGACTATGAGACAGAGAAGAAAGACCAAGAAATGGACCTCTTCCTAAAATCTCATAGACCCATCTGAAGTGTGGTGCCAAGCAACAGTTAATTAGTTCAAGAGATAACATGTTTGATTGAACATCGACGGATGAGAAGTTTCAAATCTTCATCGAATATAAAACGGAGCAGAGTGAGTAATAAGAATAAGATAAGAAAAAGGCGGTTGGAGAAGGGGGGGAAAGCATGGCTAAGTCAAAACACGAATCAGCTCAAAAGCATAGGAGTCTGTCATGGCTGCAAGCATCAGTTAGCTTTATGAGATAGTTAAGAAACACCATTAAATGGAACTTCTTCAAAAATCTCACAGACCCCAACCTGACGTGCCATGCCAAGTAACAGTTTTTCAGCTCAAGAGAGAACAAGATTGATTGCCATTTTGAGTAGAACCGGATAGAGAAACAAAAATAAGAGAAGTTATCTGTAATTTCAGCAAAAGGGTGGGTTAGTGAGAAAAAAATGAACTTTGTGAAGCCAAAACACAATTAGCACAAAAGCTTTGAAATCTGTCATGGTTGCAGGCATTAGTTAGCCTTATGAGACAGAAGAAACACCTAGAAATGGAAATTGTTTTACAAAATCTCATAGATCCACAAGATGTACCGTGCCAAGTCCCGGTTTTTCAGCTAGAGAGAAGAATTTTTACAAAACCTCCACGAAAAAAAACACCACATCCTCAGGGTTCATAAAATGGAGCAAAGAGAGTAAAACGAACAAGAAAAGTGTAAGGTCGTGTTTAATTTCACGAAAAGGGTGGTTTGGCGTGGAGGGGGAAGGAAAATGAATATTGCAAGGACCAAAAGAGAATCAGCTCAAAAGCATTGGAATTTGTCGTGGCTGCAAACATCAATTAGCCTTATGAGACGGAGAAGATACACCATGAAATGGAACTTCCTTTTAAGTCTGATTCACCCACCACCTGAGTTGCCATACAAACAACAGTTTTCTAGCTCAAGAGATAACATGTTTGATTGCTTTTTGAGATATACCAGAGAGAGTAAGAAGAACAAGAAAAGTGGAAGGTCATGTACTTTCACCAAAACGTGGTTAAACAGAAACAAAAATAAACTTTCCGATGCCAAAGCACGATTAGCTCAAAAGCTTTGAAACGCAGCATGGGTGCAAGGAACAGATTTACTATGAGGACAGAGAAGAAAGACCAAGGAATGGACCTTTTCCTAAAATCTCATAAAACCACCTGAAGTGACATGCCAAGCGACAGTTTTTTAGCTCGAGAGATAACATGTTTGATTGAACATCGACAGATGAAAACCTCCAAATCTTCATTGTGTATAAACAGAGCAGAGTTAAGAATAAGAAAAGAGGGAGTGCATGGGAAATATCACGAAAAGGGTGGTTCAGAGAGGGGGGGAAAAGCATGGGTAAGTCAAAACACGAATCAGCTCAAAAACGTAGGAGTCTGTCATGGCTGCAAGCATCAGCTAGCCTTATGAGATAGTGACGAAACACCATCAAATGGAAACTTTATCCAAAATCTTACAGATCCCCATCTGAGGTAGGCCATTCCAAGCAACAGTTTTTCAGCTCAAGAGAGAACATGTTTGATTGTCATATTGAGTAAAACCAGAGAGAGAAATAAAAATAAGAAAAGTCATGTGTAATTTCAGCGAAAGGGTGGATTGGTGTGAAAAATACTGAACTTTGCAAAGCCAAAACACAATTAGCTCAAAAGCTTATGTGGTGGCTGCAAGCATCAGTTAGCCTTATGAGCCAGAGAAGAAATACCAAGAAATGGAATTTTTTTTTACAAAATTTCATAGACCCACCTGATGTGCCGTGCCAAGTCCTGGTTTTTCAGCTCAAGAGAAAAAAAAGTTTCACAAAACTTGCATGAAAAAAAAACCTCCACATCCTCATGGTTTATAAAATGGAGCAAAGAGAAATATAAGAATAGGATAAGTGGAAGGTCGTGAAATTTCACGAAAAGGGTGGTTTGGTGTGGAAGGGGAAAGAAAATGAACATTGCCAAGCCCAAACAAGAATCAGCTCAAAAGCATTGGAATTTGTCGTGGAGCCTTATTAGACGGAGAAGATACACCATGAAATGGAACTTCCTTCTAAGTCTGATAAACCCACCTGAGTTGCCATGCCAAGCAACAGTTTTCTAGCTCAAGAGAGAACATGTTTGATTGCTTTTCGAGTTATACCAGAGAGAATAATAAGAACAAAAAAAGTGGAAGGTCGTGTACTTTCACCAGAAAGGTGGTTAAAGTGACAAAAAAACATAAACTTTCCAATGCCAAAACATAATTAGCTCTAAAGCTTTGAAACGCAGCATGGCTGCAAGCAACAGATTGACTATGAGATAGAGAAGAAAGACCAAGAAATGGACCTTTTCCTAAATTCTCATACACCCACCTGAAGTGTCGTGTCAAGCAACAGTTATTTAGCTCGAGAGATAACATGTTTGATTGAACATCGACCAATGAAAACCTCCAAATCATCATTGTGCATAAAACGGGACAGAGTGAGTAGTAAGAAGAAGAAAAGAAGGAAAATGCAGGAATAATATCACGAAAAGGGTGGTTCGGAGAGGGGAGGAAGGCATGGCTAGGTCAAAACACGAATCAGCTCAAGTCTTAGGAGTCTATCATGGCTGCAAGCATCAGTTTGCCTTATGAGATAGTGAAGAAACACCACGAAATGGAACTTTTTCCAAAATCTCACAGACCCAACAGTGTTTCAGCTCATGAGAGAACCCGTTTGATTGCCATTTTGAATTATACCAAACAGAAATAAAAATAAGGAAAGTGTAATTTCACTAAAAGAGTGGTTTGGTGAGGAGAAAAACTGAACTTTGCAAAGCCAGAACACAATTAGCTCAAAAGCTTTGAAATTTGTCGTGGCTGCAAGCATCATTTAGTCAGATGAGACAGAGAAGAAACACCAAGAAATGGAAATTGATTTTCCAAAATCTAATAGACCTACCTGAGGTGCAGTGCCAATCAACAGTTTTTCAGCTCGAGAGAAATCAAGTTTAATTGAACCTCCACTGAAGACAAAACCTCCACATCCTCATGGTTTATAAAAAGGAGCAGAGAGTGATATAAATAAGAATAAGAAAAGAGGAAGGCCATGTGTAATTTTACGAAGGGGGGGGGGGACTGAACTTTGCCAAGCAAAAACACGAATCAGCTCAAAAGCTTTGAGATCTGTCATGGCTGCAAGCAAGCATCAGTTGGCCTTATCAAACAGAGAAGATACACCATGAAAAGTGGAACTTTCTCCTAAATCTCATAGACCAATCTGAGGTGCCATGCCAAGCACAGTTTTTCAGCTCAAAAGAGAACATGTTTGATTGCTTTTTCGAGTTATACCAGAGAGAGTAATAAGAACAAGAATAGTATAAGGTCGTGTAGTTTCACCAAAAAGGTGGTTTAGTGACAAGAAAATTGAATTTTGCAACCCCAAAACACGATTAGCTCAAAAGCTTTAAAACTCAGCATGGCTGCAAGCATCAGTTAGCCTATGAGACAGAGAAGAAAGACCAAGAAATGGATCTTTTCAAAAATCTCATAGACCCACCTGAGGTGCCATGCCGAGCAACATTTTTTCAGCTCAAGAGAAAAAACGTTTGATTCAGCTTCCACATAAGACAAAACCTTTAAATCCTCATTATGTATAAAACAGACCAGAGAGAAATAAGAATAAGAAGAAAGGTAGGTCATGTGTAATTTCACTAAAAGGGTTAGTATGTTGTGAGGGAAAAAAAGGGAGGTCAAGATGCACATGTTGATGATATTGTTGCCCTTGACCATAACCATGGCCAGCAACGACGACGGTGGATGGTGAAGGATTGATACGTTGAATGGAGGTCAGGTAAAAAGTTAAAGGGGGTGGTAAAAGTGGTGGATGAAGCCACGTAATAGAAATGTGGCAAATGATAGTGCTAATTAGTTTGATCAGATACTAATTACTCTTAAATCGTTTTTAGTTATTTGATGACTCAATTGTTAATAGAGGACAAATCTAGACCATTTCGCGTAGTTCTAAGGCAAATTAGGTCACTTTTGCAATATACAAGAAAGTCATGTTCATTAAAGGAAAAAAGAAGTGGACAAACCTTCATCAGCTAATGCCAAAGACTTCTCCTCGTGCCACTGTTCTGGAGGCAAAAGCTCAACTGCCACTATATCACCATCAAAAGCCCTATTCATGTTTGCACGTCCATATATAATTATCTCATCACCAATGCTTTCACTTCCAACATATGCTTCAAATGGATTAAAACGGTTAACGCGAAGTTTCCCCTGGTGAAGGAGTCCCCGAAGCAAGCCAGAAGTAATTTCTGACATGGGCTTATGCTATAGAAAACATGAACAACAGGTGTAATTTAGCAGGTCATAGCCTTAAAAACAGCACCCAAAAAAATACCCTAGATAAATTGTATTAAGCAGTTAAATATACCTCATTATAAATGACTTTTCGCTTTGAAGGCCTCAAATCCTCAACATCAGCCATATTAACATCTTCAGAAGGAGGCTGTACTATTAGGTCAAGCAATTCTGGCTGACCAAGTGACTTTACATAGCATTCAACTGAGATCAATGGAAGTAAGTTGGTTAAGATTGCTGAAGATAAATTTAACTAAGCAGGAACTAAAGAAAACAGCTCTATACACAGTAACGACTAAAGAGAACTTTCATGAACATTAACAGAAGCCTCTCAGTGGTCAAATCAGTACACCACAGCAGTGTTACCAAAGGCGCACTTTAAGCGCGCTTAAGCCCTAAAGCGAGGCTCAAAACGTGTTGAGCGCTTCGCCTCGCTTTATGTGCGCTTCAGTGTCGTCATCAAAGTTCAAAGACAAACTTTTCCTTGTCAATGAGTCTCTTATGAAGATGTGACACTAAACAATTGATATTTAACTTTATCATATTTTTTTTCAATTTCTTTTGTCATATATTTGTCATTCATGGTTATAATTATTAGTCTTGGACTAAACAAACACATTTTATGTTTTTCTCCCTTTGCGCCTTTTTTCATTAAAGCCCACGCTTTATTTGCACTTTGCGCTTAAAGCCCCCATGGACCTTAGAGCTTTTTTTGCGCTTTTCGCTTTTAATAACACTGCACCACAGTAACATACTACTCAATAATTGTCATCAGACAACAAGAAGAGAGATTTACCTGTCTCTGCAGAAATTCCCTCTTCAATTGCCTTCTTCTTATTCTCTCTATCATTCGTAATTAGCAAGACACTTACTGCGCTGCCAAGATGATCCTGATACCATTTAGCTGCAACCCTAATAGCTGAACCACCAAAAATTGTTGACGTTTGTCAATCTACTGGTGATTACGAACAAAAGCATTCAGCTTCATTAAGTATAGATTTGAAGGCATAGATGTAAAGACCTACAAGAGATAGACGACCATGGTTCTCGATTATACCTCCACAAATCATGTTAACCTTTCCCATTCCACTTCTTGACTACTAAACTCAATATAGCTCGACTTACTTAAGAGTTTTGCACTCAGATAATCAAATTTAAGAGATCTTGAAGCCTTAGTAGAGAATCTATGTATTATTTTATACTGGATAGGTGGTGGAATAAAAATACTTGCATTAGTTATACTTGGATAAACATCAAAAAGGCAAAAGTTACCCTAAATGTTAATTCAAAGGCTCTCGTTCTGACATCGTCTAGAATACTCCACAAAAAGATAACCTCAAGATTGAAGTGCTTCACTCCTCCGTGCACCTAAGAACCCAATGCATCATCGGGGTGAGTACATGGGAGAAATAGACAGGTTACCTTAACTTCTCTAGCAATTGATTTTCCCCAAATTTAGTGAAGTTATAACTTATAAAGCCCTAACTATTCAATCACATTATGAAACTGCAAAGGAATAAAGTCTAGCATTCTATTTTTCACTTTGTATTTCGCAGGAGCAAAACTTTCTCATCAGTTTAGATTATCAATCAGATACTCTACACTGCTGCTTAAAATCTAGGGATATAATTGTAACATTAATTCAAAAGAAAATCTAGGGATAACGAGTTTCTAATATTTGCAACCATTAAAAAGACAATCTTAATGCACAATGATCAACACATTCATGCAAAGATTTTAACGTAAAGAATTCATTATCCTTCTCCCTATTCTAGGTCCCATAACCCTAATTATGATACTTAGCTACTCATAACATTTTGAAAAGAATTAAAGTACTAATAATTGTTATTCATAGAAATTACAGTAAAGTGAATTTGTGTAGACAAAATCATAGCATTTTACATTCTTTTTGATGAAGTAACAAACACATTTTACATTATATATTGCATATCCAACTTTAACACGACGAACGAAATGTCCGACAAAATTACAATCCTTGAATAGACTCGATCCAAATGACCCCTAAGTAACTTGGTTATAGTGCAATGCGTTCTTCCAAACAGAAACAGAAACTAATCATTGCAGCTTTCACCATATAAAATAGTGTGTAGATACTAAACAAAGGCATAGTTCCTCAAAATAGGTTATTGAATAGTTCAGTTCTCATCAAGCATGAAAGTATAAATATACAGTTATCCTTTCTTACTGATCAAACACATAAGTATGAACTCTAATGCATGTTTTTAGCATAATCTGTATGCACATAATAAACATGTAATGTAAGTATGACCTTTAATTCACTAGCACAAGCACATACCATAGGACTTACAGAAATTAGAATGGAAGGGCCCAGAAAACTAGTGAATGGATACACAGAAATGCGTAGCACAAATTGTTCAAGAAAAGCAGTGATTTACAACTTCAATTGCTACTGCACAAAGGTGAACAAACAAACCTCTATCATTCCGATCATTTGGACTTTCACCAGCCATTGCCTTCACATAAGTATCCCTGAACAATGAGCAGAAGAAGGAATTTTTAATCAGATTTCAGCCCTGGCTGTAAAGTAGCAATCGATGTCTAGTAGTGGTTGTATCGTATAAGTGGATCACAGTCAAAATGCAAATATATAAAGATATACTACAATCTTTTTCTTTCTTATCAAAAGATAAATACTAAAATATTTTTCTGCGTCATTACTGATGCCAGGAAAGGAAGTTTCTACTGATAAGCAACCCTTGCAACCATTATGAATGAAAAGGGACCCAGACCAAGAATCCAAGTAATCAACAAGTGTAAGGTGATAACCACCATACTATCCTAGCCGATGTCAATGCAATGTAACTTAGCTATATCTTATGAGCTTTGACCAAAGAGTTTTCAGCAAGTGCCACACATGTGATAACCACCATACTATCCTAGACGCTGCCAATGCAATGTAACTTAGCTATTATCTTATGAGCTTTGACCAAAGAGTTTCCAGCAGTTGGAACACTCTTTCATAGAGGACTAGTCCTGGACATACAATTACATGGACCACTAAAGTAATTGGTTTCTTGGGCCCAAAGTCTTAAACAGCATACTCTATCCTACCTCTTTTTCTCACTGTGTTTTTTAAATTCAATAATCTACTCCCTCTATCCCAAAATTACAAACAACACAATGCGGTTTAAGTGGATCAAATGACAAATATTACTAAAACATTGACCAAACCCTAGCATTCAAAGTCAATAGTTCCTGCACCCCTGCCCTCTCCCCAGAATGATGCAATTAATTGCTAAGCAGAAGGAAAAGCAATATTTTGAGAATGAATAAATGACTAATCAACATGGATAAACTTTTCGCAATAAGCAATGGTTGCTTTTGATCAAAAGGCAAGTGAATTTATAGAAGAACAACTAGAGGTACAAAAGGGGCAGAAAGAAAGGAACATACTTGTGATTTTCGTTAGAAAAGACAAAGAACTTCCTTAAAGAATTGCTACACAGAGCCCTGAGTCTGTTATAAACCGCAATGTTCTTGTTCTTGACCTCCGACAACACCACGGATAGCACTACCACGTTGTCAATAGCTTGATTCTCCAGCAAATCAATCTAACACAATTCAAGATTTCAAGAAAACAATAAACCCAACCGAACAAAAAAAAAGTTAACACAATCCAAGGTTTCAAAGTATATTCACCTGGTTGAGAACAACGTTGGTGTCAAGAACAAGAATAGTGAAGTGAGAGTCGCTTAAACAAGGAGATGAAACTTTACACCCATTCTTGCAATAAGGGGCTCCGCAATAAATATCATCTCGCAAATAATGTTCCCTAACTTCCTGAAACACAAAAAAAACTCAGATTAAAATTCTGGGAAAAAGTAAACAAATACAGAAACATAATTCTAATAGTTAAACCTTAATTATTCTGCCTTGTCTGGTTTGACGTGAGAATGCTTTGTTCTTCAACATATTGCTGGGTAGGGTAGGGTTTATGGATTCTTGGATTTAGGAGTTTATGGATTGCTGAAGTGAAGTGCGTTTGGTGTTCAAGATGAAAAGAGCGGCTCTTTTGATTTTCTTTTCTTGTTTTAGGCTTTCAGAGAAGATTTATATATAACGCGGTTATAATAATTTTAATCTATTTATAAGTTTCACTTATATTTTTTTTAAAATAAAAATAAAAAATCTATAGATATTGATAGATTATTTTATTTAATAAATAGAATGTATTATTCATATTTAAATAATGTAGAGTTTTGTCTCCACCTGAGACATGATTTAGTTTTTCATTTTTCTAAGGAATAAGGGTCTGAAAATATCCCAATTTTGGTCGGATTTGTTGTTGCGATACTAAACTTTCATGATTACCTATTACCTCCTTAGACTATTTAATACTAGACGTGGTGAACAACGTCAATAATTTACTTCTGAACATTTGATAATATAAGTATTTTGAGTGGGTACAGCCCTACGATAACTTGTCAAAAATATTTTATCCAAAGATGAAATGAAATATTTTTTTAATCTTAAAAACAAAAAGATTTGATTCTAACTGTTTATGCATTTTGTTATTCATCATCAAAGTCTTTAGAAAAGATATGTAATTGTTTCATTGTCTATATTTGTATTTTCAAAAAGTGGCACAAACATTTTATTCATTAATTGCGAGAGTTTTTTTCATATTCAAGGCCTCTACATACATAATCTAAATATTATACATCTTACATAATTAGTTGTGTACTTGATAAGTTAATTGAAATTTAAAAACACATCTCTTGGAGTTCAATGAAATAACGTATGTCGCTCAAATAATTTGGATTAAATGATGTCTTGGCAAGTCCCTTTTTCAAAATTATTCGCAGTCGATGACACTACTTTGATAGCCAAAAGGCATATTTTGTTGTTTATGTTTCGATCAACATGGTTAAAACTTTATTTTTTGTGACTTTTAATCTAATGTTTATTAGGAGATAATTATTTCTTTAATATTTGATTAATATGGAGTCATCCTACTTTGAGGGGTAATTCATTGACTTCAATCCAACATTTGAACCCCAAACTTTTGATTAAGATCGAGTACAATACATACCATCCCACTACATTCCTTTATTTTTTGGATGTCACTAATCGATTGAATACATCGATAAGATAGAAAGTTGAATAACTAAAACTCCAAGGTAGTGTGGAACCACCCTAACTTCTGAACAGTCAAAAGTCCTATCTTGGACATCCCATGGATCTTTTAGCCACTGAAAAAAGTCATTTATTTTACAAGTTTAAGAATTCTAATCTACATGACACCAATAGTCTAATGATTACATCAAACTCTTGATTAACATATCTTTACTTCAACATAATGATAAAAAACATAACCATAAACAACAAAGTTTAAAACATGTACTCAAAAACAACAATTCATAACATAAGCATAAATTAATTACTATAAAAAAAATACCACGATCTGTAACAATAGAATGAAACAGAAAGGAAAAAATTAAGCCCACTGAATGCACATTGTCCCCTTAAGAAAATTATTCTCCTCGAGTACCCGAGGTTTAAAGGAATAGATACCCTGAGGATAGAACAATTTTATTCATCAGTGTATTGATACAAAAACAACGGTGTCAGTGAGCCACTCAACAGGAACAAAGTACACGAATATTTATTGTGCAAAAGAAGAAGAAATTTAGAATTTTCGTTGTTTTAAAACGAGAGGAAAGCCCTCTATTTATAGACAACAAAGGGTAGTGTGAATAAATGTTTATTGTGCCTTATCAGAAAGGTCACAATTCTTTGGAAAAGTCACAACTTTTCATAAAAGTCGCAACTCTTCGTAAAAGTCGTAACTCTTCGTAAAATTCGTAAGTTTTCATAAAAGTCACAACTTTTCATGAAAGGGAAAGCAAATTTTGGAAATAAATAAATTAAAAGGGAAGTCTGGTTTATGATGGCGCCACATAGGCGAGCCTACGGTTCTCTTATATATATATATATATATAATATGATTAGGAAAAAATATGGAACTAGTCAAAATTAGCAATTTAATTATAGAAAATAGTTATAATTTAAGTGATAATTTAAGTATGAAACTCACAGTCTCAATAGTTCAGGTATAAAACTAAAAAAAATATATATAATTTAAATATGTTTTTGACACATCTCTAATAAAATTATAATCAGTTAGTACAGGCATTATCATTGGAGCCACAATTGGTGGTTCTGTCCTTGCAATTTAGAACTAATCGTTATTCGTCGGTGTTTATGCTTTTCGGCAAAAGAAAAGAGTTGAAGATGTTGCAAAGAGGAGAGACCTCATTTAATTTTAATTTTTGGTATAATAAAGTAATTAATTTACAATAAATATTATAATGTTTTATTACATAAAAAAAGTCAAAAATCACAAAAAGTATACACTGACTATACAATATAGCTTGTCAAAAGTCATAGAAAATATACGTTGACTATAAATTACAATATAGGAGAAACTAAAAAAATGTCTCATAAATACAAATTAGTTACAAACATATACCCCTTACAATGATGTCCCTAAATAATTACAATAGATGCTTAACTGATAACTTTGCTTAAGTGATATTAAACCAATAAATGTATACCCTAATCACTAGTCAACTAATTTTCATTTGATGGATATTAATTTTACAACGTATCCAATAACAAGAGCAAATTCAACCAATCCAAATCGAAGTTGTGCCCCATTAACATAAATTTGTATTTAAAAAAACACACCATAACAAATGTCAAATGTAGCATACAGACCCAAAATCACATAATTATGTATTCTTTCTTATTTATTTATTTATTATTGTAGTTTAGTTATTCTTTATTAATCTGAAAGTAGTAGTTAATATTTTATTTTTTTATATTTATTTTATTTTTTAAAAAGGCAAATATATAAAAATAGAATAAAATAATTAAAAGATGATAAACCAACCAAAAAAGGGAAAAAAGGACAAAAAATGACAAAGAAGAAGAAGAAAGAAAAAAATAATAAAAATAATACCAAATGGTATCTCTAATAAAAGATAAAATAAAAAACAAATATGAAAATAATAAATGAGAAAAATAACAAAAGTAATTAACAAAAAGTAATTTATTATACATTTTTTTAAAAAGGTAAAAATGTACAAAGAGAAAAAAGAAGAAGATAAACTAATAAAAAATAAAAAATAAAGAAAGAAATAACAAAAATGTAACCAAATGATATCTCTAATAAAGGATAATGAAAAAAATAAAAATAAAAAGAGAAAAAAATAAAAATAAAAAGAGAAAAAAATAAAAGAGATTTTTTATAAAAAAAATAAAATTTATTTTATTTTCTTAAAAAGGTAAAAATATAGAAAGATGGAAAAAAATTAAAATAAGATAAACTAATAAAAAAAGTAAAAATAATAAAAATATTAGCAAATGGTATCTCTAATAAGGATACAATAAAAATAATAATAATTGTAATATAATAAATGAGAAAAAGAATAAAAGATAAAATAAAAATAATAAATGAGAAAGAACAAAAGAAATTAATGATAGAACAAAAACAATAAATGAGAAAAAAAGAACAAAATTAATTAATAGTAGAAAAAGATTTGAACGAAGGCGAATTGGGGATAAATTTAAAAGGATTGGAGCGAAATTGAGCCTAAATTTTAAAAAGCGTTAGAAGGAAATTAGGCCTAAACAAAAGGTGGGTGGGGGTGGGTGGGGGGAAGCATGAGCTGTAATTCATTTTGGATGAATGGGTATTTGATAAAGAAAAAATTGTTTGGATGAGTACCTTTTAATAAATAATTACTGATTTTAGCAAATTTTTTTATTTATTACTACCATTTTCTTTTGTATGTTCTTTTTATCTTCCTTTATTTATTCAACTCGAGGAATTAACTATTATAACTTTAACAACATTATATTGCATTTTATTTTTTACAAAATTTGATTTGCCAATTTTTTTTGAATTTTTACCTCATTTCTTCTTCTAAAGATCTAAATTTATATATAATATTAAAGTTGGACAATAAAAAAATGAAGTGACATGTCTCATTGGGAAGTATCACCATTTATTTATTTCTCATAATTTAAACTTTTTTTCTTATTTTTATATCAAACAAATTATAAAAATTATTAAAAATAAATATAAGTTTCTTCATTATTATCATTCATTTCATTTTCTTAAAATGCCTCTCTTGCTCTTAAATTTAATATAGTTACGTAATTTAATAAAGTTTTATTATTTTTCTTCTATATTCAAAACAATTTATTTTTTAATATTATATATATCATTAAATAACTATATTAGATTATTAATAGTCATATTTATATTATAAAGTATAATTAATAAAATTAATTTTAATAAAATAAAATCCTAATAAATAATTTGTTAAGAAAAATGTTAAATTAATTTAAATCAAGTATATATTTATTAACTCGACGTAAGCATTGAAATAAGATTTTACCTTTGTGAGGTGTAAATACAATTCACCAATATTTAATTATTAGAGTTTATATTCTACACACAATTTATCAACATAAAAAGATAAGAAATCATAACATGTTTTTTTTTGCAAGTAAGTTTTTTTTTTAACTGAACTTTCAATATTTTTGCAAGATCAATAAGAATTTTTTCTTATTGAAAAATATTGAATTGCTTTTTATAATTAAAATGACGTTATGGAAAGAAAGGGCAAAAAAAAAACATTCTTTCTTTTAAATTATGTAGTATAATTTAACCAAAAATATACTTCTTTTATTTGATTTTTGTGGAGTAATTTAACTAAATATTGATATACTTTTTTTTTACTCTTTGAAATATTAGGGAATTTTACTTTGGAATAAAAAAACTACATATCAACATATTTGGGGTCCATAATTATAGGTTCTAATGTACGAGATTTTGATAAATTAAAATCTTGAAAGTTAAAAACTATTTTTAAACATAATAATGTTTTTAAAAAAATTGAAA